GATGAAGATGAACGTGGACCATCTCAAGCAGCGGGTTAGATAGAAAAAATGGAGAGCTTTAAATTTGCTTTCATTTTAAAGTTAATGTTAAAGTTGTTTGGTATCACAAACGAGCTTTCAAATGTCTTGTAAAGAAAAGATCTAATATTGTGATTGCCATGGAATTAGTTGATGATGTTAAAGCTCGATTGTCCACAATAAATGGGAGTGGTTGGGATGATTTATTTGCTTATATCCAATATTTTTGTGTTTCTAAAGGTATTCCAATTCCAAATATGGATGACGAAATACCGGTTCGGGGTCGTTGAAGGGTAGAAGGGAGGATTATCACTAATCTTTATCATTATCGTGCATAGATTTTTTATATTGCTATTGACAAAATATGTGTGAAGATGGATCATCGCTTTAGTGAAGGAAGTAACATTATCTTTAATTACGTCTCATATCTTGATCCCTAGAACTCTTTCTCCAAGTTTAATATTGATAAGCTTGCTCATTTTGTTGATATTTATCATGCAGACTTTTTTGATGATGACCGAGGAACAATAAGGGATCAACATGACACTTATGTTCTTCAAGTGAGAAGAAATGCTTCATTTTCCACTTGTGAAAATGTTCAAAGTTTGGCTATGAAGATGGTTCAAACTGAGAAATATTTGGTATTTCCATTGGTTTATAAACTTATTGAGTTAGCTTTGATATTATCGGTGTCGACAGCATCCGTTGAAAGAGATTTTTCAGCAATGAAGATTATCAAGTCTAAATTGCAAAATAAGATCGACGGTGCATGGTTTAATGACTTGATATTATGTTACACCGAGCGGAAGATATTCAAGTCACTTGATAATATTGATATTATTCGAACATTTACCGCAAAGAAGTCTCGAAAAGGACATTTGCCTCGTAATTTTATTTAACCCGTTATTGTAAGGTTATGTTTATCTCTTTTATTTTAAACTATATTTTTATTGAAAAAATAACAAGTCTATTTTTTTTTTATTGATAACTATTTATATATTATATACAATGTGAATTTGCGGTCTTTAATTTTTTGTTCGGGCTTTATAATTTTTCTGACTCTGTCACTATATATATATATATATATATATATATATATATATATATATATATATATATATATATATATATATATATATATATATATATATATATATAGATATATATATATAGGATTAGGGTTTTTGTAAATTTTAGGGTCGTAATAATAATTGAATATTATATTATTATTATTATTATTATTATTATTATTATTATTTTAGAAATTACTGAAGTATTCATTAAAAATATTATATATATAAATTATTTACACCATTCAAATAAAATATAATATTCAAACAAAATATACATATTATATTCTTATATGAATTCTAATTATTAAAAAATTTTATTTATAAAAGATGTATTACTAACCTAAAAAAGTTACATTTTTTGTGAAACATATAAGAATATGAAAATGTTTATTAGATACCTTAATAATTAGAATAAGAATTGAAATAAATTTATAAGTTTTATTTTACTAATTTATAATTGGATTAGGAATAAAAATATAAACAATATTATTATTATCATTATTATTCATAACTCGTAACTCAATTATGATACATAAAATTAATAATAATAATAATAATAGTAATAATCAAGATATTTATTTATTATTTATTATGGTACATAACAAAATTCATTTGATAAAATAATTTTCAAAAATTATTTTAAAGTTAAAAATAAATTTGTTAATTTGTACTGACTTATATAAATGAAAAATATTTTTATTATATTGCATAATTAAATATTGAATTATATACAATTTAATATATAATTTAGTCACTAAATGAAATTGAAATAAAATCTTTTTGTAATTTTTATAAACTAAGTGAAAAATGAATTTTATCATAATTAAGTATTAAAATAATTTATATATTTGTGATTTGTGATTTATATTTATTACTTTGAAAAAAAATAAGTAATTCAATATTTATATAAAAAATATAAATAAAGTAGTAAATATTTTTATTCTTACTTGATTTTTTTTTACTTTAAATTTTTGTTTAGTAATTATTACTATATTTATTTTCCTTTCTTACTTTTTATATTATCGTAACTTTAGTGTATTAGTTATAATTTTAATGATTACTAAAATAAAATTTATTAAAAAAATTTTATTTTTTAATTGAAATTATAAGAATGAATCATTTTATAAATTTTTTTTTGTTTTTTTACTTTTTATATTGTCGTAATTGTAGTGTATTAGTTATAATTTTATTTAATTGATTTTATTAGTTGAAATTTTATTTAATATGATATTATATTAGATTTGAATTAAGTAGACGATGTCACATGAGAAATAGAGTTAGAATTGCATCCAAAATTTTAATACGATACCTGTTGAATTTGGATTAAATAGATAATATCATATAAAAAATAAGATTAGGATTATATGTCAAAGGTTATCATCGTAACAATAGATCACATGCACACATGCATATGCATGGATATATTTGATTGAGTGAATTCAAAACATATGGGTCGATCATTTAATCAAAAACATGGTGGACCAAAACTTAAGGGAATGTAACGTTTTAGAGGTGCATATCACATCATTTCATTTACCATGGTCCCATTTTTGTTCCCTTACTTTCTCTTTCGTCCAATCCTTACTTGCCACGTGTGCATACTTTTTGATATCGTGTTATAGTCAAATTTGGTAATAATTGACATGCCTTACCCATGTCTTTCTCTTTTCTCTCATTTTCTGAATGTTTTTTATGCTCTCCATACTATGTCATAACATATTGACAAGTGTCTTTTAAGACATGTAAGACGAGTTATTTGTTTTTTACGATTAATTTATGATAAATTTACATATGAACTCCGAAAATTTAAGAGGATATTATATATATATATATATATATATATATATATATGAAATCAAGATTTAAGTTGAATCATATTAATAACTAAAATCAGGTTGAATATCCAACACATATATATTATAGGTCTAATATCTGATTTATGTAATTACATTCAATTTATTATTATTGTCGATACGTCTGTGTCACGTATGTGTCTATATCTATGTGTAAGTGTTTATTAGATTAAAATTTTAGTATATATATATATATATATATATATATATATATATATATATATATATATATATATATATATATATATATATATATATATATATATATATATATATATATATATATATATATATATATATATATATATATATATATATATATATATATATATATATATATATATATATATATATATATATATATAATATGTGTTGTTTATAAAAATAAATAAATAAGGGTGGGGGTAGTTGTGAGATTGAGGGTGTGTGTGCTATATATAAAGTGCTTTCAAGTTTCAACATTCTCTTAGCTCATTTTTCATATTTGCAGTTTCTTCCATTATAGGAATAAGGAAAAGATGGGAAATTGTCAAGCAATTGATGCTGCAACACTAGTGATACAGCACCCAAGTGGAAAAATAGAGAGGTTTTATTCATCCATGAGTGCGAGCCAAGTTATGAAGATGAATCCTGGTCATTGTGTTGCTCTTCTTATTTCTACCACAATGTATCCAAACAAGGACATTGAAAATTGTCGCAAAAATAATAATGGTGACACCAACGCCAAAACCAACACGAACCCGGTTCGATTAACTCGGATTAAGCTTCTTAAACCGAACGATACTCTGCTTCTTGGACATGTTTATAGACTCATCACAACTCAAGGTTAGTTGCAACTAAATATAGCTTTAATTCGTATGCTATGGATCGTTTTAAATTTGAGATTAACGCTTTGAAATGGCTAATTGTTGGTTTCAGAGGTTATGAAGGGTATAAGGGAAAAGAAACAAGCAAAGATGAGACAGAATATGTCAGAATCAGCTCATAAGCTAGGTTTGGGGAAGGAGAAAAAATCAATGAAGTTTGACACTAAAGACACTAAGGTAAATCCAAACCAGTTTTTGTTTTTGATTATAGAACATAACAAGCATTGGATTTTGGTTTCAAGGATGTAAACTTGTACAATATTTTAAGAGATAGATTATTTATAAGCCATGTAACACCGATATTTTTGTAATTTATTATTTTTTTAGTTATTATTCATATAGACGTGTCAGTGTCGTGTTTTATGTGTCTGTAGTTCATAGATTATATGTTTATCTATAATTGTTATGTTAATTTCAGGAAACCAAACCAGAAAGAGCACGAGCAAGGACACGTTCATCAAGTAATAATGGTGCCAGTGTTACAGTCACAGCTAAGACAAGATTCTGGCAACCCTCTTTACAAAGCATCTCAGAGATAGCCAGCTGAGCTGAGAGACAGAGGAGCAAGCAATTTTTGGACTAAAATCAGAACCCCTCTATCCATGATTGCTTAGTCATGTGGAAATTAAATATATTGCATTGAGCTTTAAGGAGAGGCCAAAAACAACTCTTATGGGTTGGTGCATGATTGTGCATAGTAAAGTTGACATATCTTATATCAGATAATGTAACTAGATTATTATTCTCTAATGAAATCAACCTTAGACAGCACATTTTATGTGCTGGACTTATCTGAGTTTTGGGAGTGTTATTGTAGGAGCGTACTACATCAAATTGAATCTTCTTAACTTCACAAATTTTTTGACATTATCATTGATATATTTTTTACTATTATCACATTGAATGCTTTAACTTCCTTTAAAATTGAGAATTGATATATATTTTTAATTTTTGAAAAGATTTGTTAAAAATTGAAAAAGTCCACAAGTAAAAATTGTCAATAAAAAACACACAATATGTGTGGCTCAAAGAGCTCAATGTGAGAGACGTCCATACATCGTTATGTAAAATATCACATAATATACAAGTAGAGTTATGAGAATCAACAAATAGCAATTTAACATGTTTACCAATATGACAAAAGTGACAAAAACTTGAATTGATATGTTTAGTTCTAATACAATTAATCAATGGCAGCTGAACCCAAGGTTAATCCTCAGGTAGGCATCAGTATTTGGGTTCCAGGTGTGGTTCGTTGTGGCATAGGAGCAGTAGTAGGGGATTTTTATGCAAAAAATCAGAGAGTTGCAATCTGGGTGCCTGCTGGTATATTTGTGGTTTGGCAATTGATCCCTATTATTTCAAGGCGGGTTTTTGGAGGTTCTGTCTCGAGAAGTGGAGATGCTTATTTGAGCGTGACGTCGGGTCTTGTGGTGAGGCTTATCTTGGCACAGGAGTCGATAGTGTGGCAGTTTGCACATAAAGTTCAGAGTGTTGCAGCTTCGGTACTAGTTGGAATTTCTGTCACACCATATTGATTCCTTTCGCTCCAAGTAAATGAAGTCAGTGGTGGTATTTTGGCTATCCTGTCTCAGGAAGTGGAGTTTGTCAATCTGGAGGTGGAAGTGTCTTTCCGTTTGCGGTGGTCTGCTCCGCTGTTTTGTGCGTTTGCTCCTAGTCCGTGTTGCTGTGTTGTCGTAGATCCTGGTTCAGGATTCTTGGTTCGGGATTGAGCAACTTGGCTCTGAACTGTGCAACCGGTTGTTCTCTCTCTCTCTCGCAACATTTTTCAATTTTGGTGTAGAGGTGGTGGTTAGTGTGGCAGTGGCTGCATCAGCGTTTTGAAATCAGAGGGATGTATCTGATGGTCTATTCAGAGTTTTCTCAGTTCTCGTGGTCTGTATCATCATTCTTTGTTCCTCATTTCCATGGCCTCGCTCTCTGTCCCGCTTTTCTGTCATCGGTGAATGCTTCAGATCAAGACAGAGATTGTTCGCTGCTCATTTTGGTGGTGATATCTGTTTACACTGATCTCTTTTCTTGAGCAGCAAATATCAAGTTGTTGCAGAATCAAAAGAATTTGGGATATTATGCAGTATTTTCTGTGTGGTTTTTATCGGTCCAAATTAGATGTCTGCTGAGTTTCTGTTGGGATTGATGGCATATATCCAAAGAAGTTCAGTTTGGTTTAGTGAGCGGGTGATCTGGTCCATCTTGGTCTGCATTCTCGGTTAGCAGGTTTTTTAAGCATGCAATTAGCTAGGAGAATTTTGGTGAAGCTGTTCTATGTGTTCTCTCCTGGGAGTTTCTCTTTCCATTGGTTAAAGCTTTGTATTTTATCTGTTGCTCGAGGAGGCCTTTAATCACATTTGTTGGTCCAGTTTGTAAGCTCAATTTGTGGTTTTGGTGGTTCCCTGTTTTGATGGGGTCTGTGTTGCAACTGTAATGTAATTTTATCTTGGCATTTCTTATGCCTTCGCATTCTATACTAATACAGTTTTCTTTGCTTTCCAAAAAAAAAAAAATCTACGAGATTCTAATATATCACGATGTTTATGAAACCTGTCATGTTTTCACTGACCTGGACAAAAACTTCTACGAGATTCCAACATATCACGATGTTTATGAAACCTGTCATGTTTTCACTGACCTTTTGAGGTGCAATTGTCTTGCAGTGTTGCTGATTGATCACCTGTCTTGTATAGTGGTTCAAGTAAAGGTAAGGAACTCATTTCATTAAATTGAAATGCTTGCAGCTTGATTCTAAATTGCAGTTGCAGTCTTGGCTACATTGTGAACATTATACATTGAGGTAAAATGCAGACAAATGTGGTCAATCCACCACAATTGCAGTTATATACAAAAGAAAAGTACCTCAGATTTGATCGGATGTGAACAATTCACGAGTTGAATTTTTCAGTCTGCTATCTTTTCATCGGTGAACTTTAGTTTTGCTATTATCCATATCAGTATTAAAACTAAGCATATTTTGAAGGAATTTTTTTGTAAAATTGTAATCTGCTTTAAAATTCTTATTGAACTAATATGTTTTTAAAATGTTTGGTGTTATTAACACCAACCACATCTCCTCAACTCAACTGAAGAGATAGTATGGGCAATGACCATTGTTCATTTACTCGCCCTTTTCATGAAGAACAGACAGACTAATGGAAATCTAGCCTTCGAAACATGAAAAAACAAGATAAAAGAAACTGGCAAAAGATCTTTGATTGGCAGTAAGTTACTAAATGATCACCAGATTCATAGAACAGTGAAAGCTTGACTACAAAATTACAATAAGCAACACACTCCATAACAACTCTCTCAACTATGATCTGGCAATCAGTATTATCAGAATGCACAAATCTTGAATGGTGAAAAAACTACTCATGCACAAGCAATTAGGGTTCAAATGCTTTCAGTTTATTCTAACATGGCTATCATAACATCCAAATTGTTGCCATAAAAATACAATGTAAAGAAAACTAGCATCCAAATGTTCATCTCATTCTGCACTTTCAGAACACTACTGCTTGCGAGCCTCTTCTCTCGTTGAAGCCTTGACATATATTTCATAACAGCATCCTGAAACATCACAAAGAAATCAGTCAACGTTGAAAAATGAAACAGTAAGACAATTTCAAGAAGGAAAGTATGGCACAATAAGTCACAGGAAGTAAAATCAAATCTGAATTAACCCATTCTCTCATATTTAAACCATACTCTAGCACTAACTAGAAAAATAGAGGCAGTTCCTAGTCAAAGCACAGTTGGCAACATCCAACCAGATAGGAACTAAAATGGTTGATATTAGACCAACACAAAAAAGTATTAACTATTAGTACTTCATAAAAGTGACACAACACAAAATGGTATTAACTATTACTTCATAAAATTGACACAACACAGAAATAACAACTACAACAATCAAGCCTTATCCCACTGAGTGGGGTCGGCTACATGGATCAAATTACACCATAATGTCAATCATGAACGTTGTTTTAATGTTATTAGTTACATCTATTACTGACTATGTTGTAGACAATGTTAAAGACGGGAAATGTGTCCATCGATGTTCAGTAACTGAGAATTCAAGTTTAAGCAAAACCTTTCCTTACAAATAAAGTAAGAAACATTTAAAACATATTAACTGGCAGTGAATACAAAGTTATTTTGGCAATGGTGTAGTGAATATTATAGGAAAAGGCTCATGTATCCATTATCTAAACACTTGGAGAACCCTCCCTTAAGAGCTAACTTTCAAAGGACAGCTAAACTTCAAATGCTTGACCGAACATCTCATACTACTCGATTGGGGACTTGGAAACCCCATAATATTCAAGTCCCTATTATAGCTCTGCTTGTGAACACCGACATCTCGGCGACTGCACTCTACAATGATTACTCTGCCTTTCCACAGCCTCTCTGAAAGTAGCCCTTTCCAATCCACCAGCAACCAGCTCTCATACCAACTGATAATAAATATCCAAGCACTTGGAAACCTTCACTTAAAAGCTAGCTATCAAGGAGGAAGAACTAAGTCACTTAAACTCGAATGAGTATCTCATACTACTCGATGAGGGGCTTGGGCACCCCATAATACCCAAGTCCCTATCGTAGAACTTCAAAACCAATGAGGTGTGCATGGCAGAGTTTTAAAAATTAGCGAAGTGATTATACTGTCGAGTAATGAAGCTGCAAGAAAAACGACCGATTGATTCAATCATAAACTAGCTGCGAGAATATCATGTATCAAGAATGCACCCTCATGGTTTCGTTACTTGACATCAAAATCACCCAATTTTCTGTCACAAATCACAAATCCCTAAACATGAATCAAAAGAAGGATTATTTTGCATCTCCACGTGCTTGCTGCGGCTTTGACTTGTTCAAAACACGACCCTGTGAAACAAACTCGAAAGGAGGACCTATTCCAGCTTTACCCCGGTATCACATCGGAAAGTTGCTTCATCACAAATTTGACAAGATGGACTATCATTAAATTGAAACCCACTGAAAATATCATAGGAAAAACTTTCTGCTAATGTATGAAGATCCATTATGTTGTCATAGTTTCTTACAGTGGAACGTAGTAATTCCATATTGTTAGGTACAAATAGTGCTTACAAAGGATTTCATAAGAAACAATATTATCTCATAACCAACCAAAACAATGCCTTAATATTAGAGTTTGAAGATTAGTAAATAGTACAAAATGCATTCATGGCAACTTACACAGTGGTGAAATACTAACTTATTCACGTGTTGCTACTGGTGGTGGGGATAGCCCAACTAATGGAAACTCATCTGACATTTATAACCAATACATGCTAATATAAACAAAATGATTAACCTTTGCTAAGCTCAGTTATAGTCATATGTAGGGTATCAATGCCATGATTTTGTTTGAAGCCATAATCATAAAACACTCTTTAACAATGTCATTTCACAGCGTCATACTTCACTCACTATCCAATAATCACTCGATTGAAACACACATGCAATAGTAGATTAATGGTAAAGCAACAATTTGCGAAGTTTGTAAATTTTATCCTAAAAGCGTTAAACGCAAGATAGATTCCGTAAATACGCAACCGATTTTTCTCCTAAGCATATACACAGATGCAAGCTATTAAGAATGACTATTATTTCATCCTATAAAAATCAGAGGAACATTCACAAGTCCATAGCACAAATTGTGCTAAAGCTAAAGGCATAACATAAGGTTTTATGAGAGCCCCATGTATTGAAGGAGCTCGCTTAACTCACATCCACATGAAAACGCTGAGACACTGTTCTTCTTCTCCTAGAATGAACTTGGATATCCGCAAAAAGATGGATCTGGGTGCTGATTTGAGGACACGATGGTGGGTTGAATCGGAAGGATAAACTGTTTTTCCTCGACGGATCCTATCTGAAGTAGCTCTCCCCAAATTTCCCTCGGAGACATACTCCGCCTCAGTTCTGTACAAGGTAGAGATAAAGGGCGGTGCCTTTCGACATTGCTGATGGCGAGATCGAGACGCAGACTATCACCGAGGCCGGCAAGAGGGATGTTTGACAGATCACATTCCTCCTTGTGCTCGGACACCGGCACGTTAATGTTGGCAATTTTGAATTTCCTCCAAGCATTAACCACCCGTAACCGTCCTAATTATGAGCCGTTTGTAACAGATCCCACCATTAACCCTTTGTAACGGAGCCGGGCATTTAATTGCTCATAACGGCTACGTTTTGGACAACATTTCAAGAACCGGGCCCAGAACCGGAAATAGGATCAGAAGTCATCGTCCGGCCTCATAAAAATCTCAGGCAAGTACATATAGTATATCAGTTCGAACATACTATATTACTACATTTTACTTTCTTGTTCCTTAGACCATAAAACCCCACCAAACTGCAACTGCTAAATAAAATACAAGCAAATTCTCTTATTTTGTAAAATTGACTCTCTTATCCCTAAACACGCATCAAAAGAAGGATTAAAAAAGATAGCATACCTGCAACAACAACAATAGTTAAAACATCCCCAATTTTCCTGAGCTTTTTTACACTCTGCTTATATGATTTGAATGGCTTGAGAGCTGAATCTTCTGCCAAGAGCTGCAGAAAATGAAAGAAATCAAATAAAAGTTGGGACTCTAAATGTTTAACCTAAATCGAGGGAAAATTAGGCAAAAATAAAAAATGGAAAAGTAGAAGCTTACAGCTTTTTCACGAGTTCCGGGTTCAACATGGAACTGACGGCGCGAGAGAGAAACGGGATCTTCGATCTTCTGCTTTCGATTTAAGAGAATAATGAATCAGAGATGAAAAAACGAAACTCGAAAATACTATGAAATTGAAAATGAGTATGATTCAATGTGTAATTTAAATGGAGTAAATACCTGAGATGAGGATCGAAAATGAGAAGCTAGGGTGGATTTGTTCAAGAAGAATGCCATGGTTTGTTGATGTGAAAATGATGCTGGTGAAGTTCAGAACAGAGCTTTTGGGAAGAAAGAAACGCGTGAGCACTTTTTCTTTATATATTTCTTTTCTTTTTTTATCACTCTTCGTAGAAAAATAATTGTCAATTATAAATTTATTAATATTTTTTAATTATTTACTTTTCAAAAAATTGATGAAATGATGAATAATTAATTTATAATATAAATTTATTGATTACTTTGCAAGAAGATGATAAATAATTAAGAGTGATCTTTTGATTCTTTTCACGATGAATTGATGATAGTTTTCAATAGTATATTTTTTTCAAGTGATTAAAATAGTCTGATTGATTTATTAATAACATAATATTATTTATAAAGTGTAGTATTTATAGATAAAACTATCCAATTAATCATAAAATATGATGTTGTAGTTTATAAAAAATGATGTCTCGCTCATTTATTTTGTATGGATAATGCACGAGTGTTTTCTTTATTTTGAAATATGTGGTGTCTCATATTCATTTTATTATTTTTTTCGTTTCACAATGTGTTTTGTCGACTTTATCTATATTGTGATTATATGTGCCTAATAAGAATAACAAATTTTAATGATAACAAATAAAATCAAAATTAAATATCATCAAATGAAGAAGAAAGATTGACTTAAATGAAAAACAAGAAATTTCTAATGACTAGCTTAGAAGAATCAAATAGAAATGAGCAACATCAAGAAACGAACTAAACATCTAAAAGTTTGTCATCTAAACTGTCAAATTATTAGGTTGCTTATAACATTGTTCGATCATCTAGGTTGTTAACGTGTGTGCGACAACCAATTTTTAAAAACATTTAATGAAATTACTTTTTTATATGTTCATTAATATTTTTACATTGGCCGCCATGTTTACTAAACGAGGGGGTTTATTTGGTGATCTCATTTGTTATGATGGTTTAATCTGCGACTATTTTCCCAATTGCATTAATCTCTATAACCCTCAATTTGTCACCACTACTTTTCTTTTCCCCGATCTCTACCTTCTTTGTAGGTCTTATACATTTCTTCACTTTTAACATCTTATTGGAAGTGATACTTGATTAGATTCAACATTATGAACATTGACATTTGTACCAGATGTAATATTGGGAACAATTGAATTACTCTTAAGAATAATATCAAACACAATATGAAAATGATGAAAACGTTTGTTGTGTTGGCCAAGTGACTTCAAACACTAGATAGAGGTGAATTGTGTTGATAAAAAATCAAAATCAATTTATAAAAAGTTTGTTATTTTAAAAATTTATTTTGATTTTGATAATCACTCGAAGATTAGGTCGTGGAAATAAACAAAGAAGATGGAGATGAGAACACAACAGAAATAACATAAACAACGGGAATAAAAAGCGATAAGAAATAAATAGTGCGCCGAAAATTTATATACGGTCGACCTTACCACTTAATCTATTCATCTCACCAAGAGTTTCCTCTTCAGAGTTCCACTGAACACACTTGAGCTTTTTACAGGATTTGCACATGAACCTTCAACAACAACAAACAAATTGAGTTTTTACACTAACTAAGATTAAGAACCAACAAACAAAACTTTTATGTAGGTTTTTCTCAGGAACCTTCAAACAAAGCTTTTATACATGTCAAATTTAAGAACCTACAACTTAGAGCTTTTACACTGGTCGGGCTTAAGAACCTACAATCCAGCTTTTACACGGGTTTAGTTTGTAACCTTTACAAAATAATTCTACAAGAGAATAACACTTTTGAATACAACAAATTAAAGCATAACATTGATTACAACAAAAATATCACAGAGACTTTTTAGTCTTTTAGCACTACTACAATCTTCGTGAAAAGTAAATATGAAAGCAAAGAGAGTAGAAGAAATATATAAGGGTTTCTAATTAGAATTACAGTGTAAAATAAAATGAGGAGAAACCTCCTTTATATAGGAAAAGATTTGTTCAAATGGAAATAACACATGGTCACTTTAATGACTTAATAGATTAAACCTATTTGTTAATCAATTAAGGATTTATAAATCAAAGAAACCCTAATCCCAAAAAAAGAAATTTAAATGGTTTAATTGATTAAAATCTTTTCTAATCGATTTATAGGTCATTTACCTTGCTCTAAACGACTGGACCAAGTCGTTAAACTATTAAGCATCTAAAAACTTTTACAATTTATTAGAAATACTTCTTGATCAATTTCATGCAAGCCATGTTAGGTTTCCAATAGATTTTATAAGACTAGATAGGGTTTAAAAATGTTTTATGTGTGCATGATTTTCACACTACTTGTACTTCTCAAAAAATACAGGAGTGTGTGGTATCTCTATGTTGGTAGGAGATAACCATTAATAATTTATGGTAATGTAAGGCTTGCTCACGGTGTGGAGTAACCCTGTTAGGTGGTAATTTTTCGATGGAGAGATCAAGTTCACGTGATATAAGAAGCTTTGTGTTTATGCATAGTTTTGAGTATGTTATGATTTGTCCTTCTACCCTTGAAGGATAAAGTATTTATTGAGGCTCTTGAGCCTAGAGTTTAGGAAACCCTAAGACGGTGTAACCGCTCCCTAATGATCGGAAGAAACTATGAGTACCTATTTCTTATGGAGTCTCTCGTACCCCAAATTTGTTCTACTTCGATGATTTTATTCTTCGAGATCGAAATAGAAGAAATATTTAATTAAAGATGGTACAACAGTATCTGATGGCTTATCTTTATCCGAGACTAGGGGTGTATTTTAATAGGGGCTTTCTAAATCAGAAAGACTCATAAATTCATTCGCGAAGCATGTTGGCCCATGGGCCCATGCAATTCGAAAATAAAAATCACCCGAGTAATTAATAAATTATTAATTTACTAAGGACTACTTAGGTTTAATTTGCCAGTGAAATTAAGATATTAAGTGCATTAGGATTTGTTGCTGTCAGTAAAAAGGAGGGATGAAATTTAAAAGTCAATTTAAGTTTTGTTGTTGTTAATAAAGAGGAGAGGGTGTGATCATCAAATTGTAAGCCCATTATATTAGATGTTGTCTTGTTTAGAATAAGAAAAGCAATATTATTAAGACTATTGTTTTAATGGAAAAGGAATATATAAAAGAAGTATGACTATTATAAATAAAAGATTGTGTATTATCATTATAAATAAATAATACTGTTATTAAAAAAAATGTGACATTTGTCCCTTACTGTTAAATTCTTTTAATATATATATATATATATATATATATATATATATATATATATATATATATATATATATATATATATATATATATATATATATATATATATATATATATATATATATATATATATATATATATATATATATATATATATATATATATATATATATATATATATATATATATATATATATATATATATATATGGTTCACATTCAAATACTTTCAATTGACTTTTTACTTTCGAATAAGTAACATAGCACAGTTCGAATAAGTAACTTTATTTTCATTTTTCTAAAACCACAAAGATCATATTTTTATTATTAAATTATTATTTTCGTATTTATTTATTTATTATATTTTGAAAATATTATTTTTTATTAAAATATTCATTTTATTTAAAAAAAAATAGTCAAAATAATTTATAAATGGATAAAATTTAATTTGGGCTTTTTGTTCACTTTGGGCTAGTTTTCTCTCCAAGTTTTTAACCTAATTTTACTCTATAAATAGAACTCATTGTTGTCCTAATTGAGGAGGAGAAATATTCACAATTGCACTACATATCCACAAATCAACAATCTCCCACAATTTTATTACACACAAATTTTACAATCTCCCACAATTTCACTAAACATGAGGCTACCGTTTTCAATTTCACTTTTTTTTAATTGATTTATTATTATAAGCCGATGATTTAATTTGAGGTACTCCCTTTTATTTATAATTTTTTAATTTCAATTTATTTGTTTTTTAAAGAAATCATATGATGATTATTGGGTGGTTGTTCTTTTAAGGAAATTTATATTTTTATATACTAATAATTTTTCCTATAGGTCAAATTCACATTTCACACTATCAGTACGCATTGTTTATGTTTTTTAGTCAAATCGTTTTTCTGCCATAAAAAACTGGTTTCTTAGAAAGCCAATTTCATCATGTAACTATGCTAGTTTCCACTAGGGGTGTTCAGATCCAATCTGATCCAAAAAAAATCCAAAAACCGAACTGAAAAAACCGAAATCCAAAAAAAATCAAATTTTTTTGGATGTATTTGGATCACCATGTAGCATAACTGACCGGTTCGGTTCGGTTTACGGTTGGCTTCATGAGAACCGAACCGGTATTACTTCCATTTACTTGCCATTTATTATTTAAAATAAATTAATATCGAATCATATATAGTCATCCTCCCAAATTAATTATGTTAGTCAGCACTAATTTCTCTAGAGAATCTCAATCATTCCTATAATTTCCCTATTTAGATTCTAAATTATCTTAAAATTAAATACAATGAATGTTATTCATTGTTGTAACCGCAAGAAATTCAATATCGCAAACAAGAAATTCAATAATGCTAAATAGACATTCATCTCAATTAATTTTCTGAATTATACTATCAGTAAGCAAGCTTCTTAATTTGTTTGATTTTATCTTTTTTGTACTTTGTAGTTTTGTTCGATCAGATTTTCTAAAGCTATTCAAATTTTTAGCCTTTTGTAAAGTTGTTCTAATTTGTGTTGTTGAAAGCTTATTTAAAATTAATTTACTTATGTTCTCAATTTTATAACAGTAGCTTACTAAAAATTATTTTCATTAGTTTTCTTATGTGAAATCGTTTCATGTTGGTTACTTGGTTATAACAGTAACAAATTTTAGTTAGTTTTTCATAATTTCTTCAAGGTCTGTTATTTGTTAGTTTTTCATATTTTGTTTCATAATTTTTTCATAATATATTTTTATTAGCTTTTTCTACAACTAGTTGTTTATACTTTGTTCTAATTTTAAGTTTGATCT